CGACTCTATATATGCTTTAACAGCAAAGCTATTAGCCAAACCATATAAACTGTGGCATACAAGGTTACGAGTTAGGAGCTCCATGTCTGCCTTGTAGACGTCAACATAAAAGAATTTCATATGAAGCTTTGGTTGCTAAAAAAATTTGGTATCTGAGTTTTGAGACTTGCCCGATTTTCTTGCCCAAATTTCAGGTCCAAAACGGCGTTAACTGAGCCCCTACCTTGTGGGGTCTCGAATGGCGAGTGCGCGCCACGCCACGCTCTTGGAGTGAACGGACACAGTAGACGCGGTCGGGGCAAACAAAACACACATACACATTTATTTAACTAATTTAGATGATGATACCGCCAGCTGAATGTTACGTCAATTGTAATTAACACGCTACCATACAAACAACATAACACAGTAACACACCAAACACACAATTCCCGTACACTCCAAAACATGACAAATGCACAACATGACAAACACACTAGCACACCCAAGGCGGCGTCGCCAACGCTTCACTCACCACGTGGGCCCACCGCAGGCGGCCCGCGGTGCCGTCCACGGCAGACCCACCGCAAGAGACAACCGTTCGTGGCAGCCGCCACTTGCTCAACTCTTGCCCGCCACCAAGACCTGCCTTCCGCCAGGGGTCACCAGCCGGCGCTACCACTCTACCAACAGTGGTACTCAACGCGAACACAGCGCCATCCATCGTCCTGCGGTTGTCACTCCCGAAATACGGCTTCTGTGCGAGAGAGGTGTGCCACGCGGCGCAAACAACTTTACACAGGGTGCCAGCACCCCCACATTTCCCCAACCTTAAATTAAACCATATCCCGAAAAAAAAAAAAAGATAAGTTACACAAGCTTTAACAAAAAAAAATGACATCACATGTCCATAATGTCCTTGCACCACGACACCGCCGCCGGTCTACACTGCTGCACTGTCCGGCTCGACTTCACCTCAGTACCGGCCCCGCAACAGCATCGTTGCCGTCGGCGCGACAAACCATCGCTAGCGCTGACACGTCTTCGAGTTGCGACCATCACTCACGAGGGCGTCGGACTGCAGGCAGTTGCGCAGGTTCCAGGCATCTCCATCGCCTGACCTCACTACCGCATTCCTGGCCAGCGACGCTGACGATGTGCAGAAGACAGCCGGCCGTGGATGACATCTCTCCTGCTGAATACATCAACAACAAAAAAAACTCTAAAGAAACAATGGAGCAGGGCCTAGGGAAGGGAGCTTCCGGCTTTTCGGCCACGTGGTACGATGGTCAGTACTGCTAGCTAATGCATCGGCGGCGGCCGAGACGCCCATCAAAAATAAAACAAAAATCACTTTTCCTAACTCGTGCATCGCAAGATAAAAAAAGTGAGGGAAGCAGAGCGCAACACCTCAACGCCACGATCCACATAGTTGTGCCACGTGCGACAGGCGGCTGCGCAGAGCCTTAGGCCTATTGAGTCACTCGGCAACTACCGGCATCCACCCAGCACCCAGCCTAGGCGCAGAAGAGGCAGCCACGAGGAGACGTCCACTCTGTGAGGTGGCCTTATCGCTCGTCGCACACAGCAGCTTACCGAGTGACCGGCGTCCACCGCCCCGGGCGGCGTCACGACGCTTCGGCGTTGAGCCGCTAAACAAGTCGGCAACGACGCCCGGCTCCCTGAGGCCAAAGAGATAAAAGAAGCTCTTTACAGAAAATCGGACCACCCACGAGGCTTCCGTACTCACTCGCTTCGGGCCTGGCCTACAAACCACGTGCTCTAGGCTTTGCTCACTCCAGGATGCAGACCGCATGGCTCTCGTCCCAATTCAACGTTTTTGAAAACTACCAACAACAAAAAGAACAACACTTGCGAGCAAAAAATAAAATAAAAATTTAATCTACCGACAAATTCAAACACGTCACAAAAACAATCTCCTCGCTTCTCAACAAAGCACAGCACCGACGCTAGCAAAGAAGTACCCCCTAGGCCTACTCTCCGGCTCTAACAAAAGCTTGTACCGAACCGCAAAAACTCGTCCGATACTCCAAGAGCTCCAAATTGGGCAGCCAGTGTGGGGTCTCGAATGGCGAGTGCGCACCACGCTACGCTCATGGAGTGAACGAACACAGTAGATGCGGTCGGGGCAAACAAAACACACATACACATTTATTTAAGTAATTTAGACGGCGATATCGCCCGCCGAATGATATATCAATTGTAATTAACACGCTACCATACAAACAACGTAACACAGTAACACACCAAACATGCAATTTCCATACACTCCAAAACATGACAAACACACTACATGACAAACACACTACCACACCCAAGGCGTCGTTGCCAACGCTTCACTCACGACGTGGGCCCACCGCAGGCGGCCCGCGGTGCCGTCCACGGCAGACCCACCGTAAGAGACAACCGTTCGCGGCAGCCGCCACGCACAGAGGAGACTCGCTCAACTCTCGCCCGCCACCAAGACCTGCCTTCTGCCAGGGGTCACCCGCCGGCGCTACCACTCTACTAGCAGTGGTACTCAACGCAAACACAGCGCCATATATCGTCCTGCGGTTGTCACCCCCGAAGTACGGCTTCTGTGCGAGAGAGTTGTGCCACGCGGCGCAAGCAACTTTACAGGGGGTGTCAGCACCCCACAATCTTTGCCACATTCATTGTCTCCATGTTAGAACTAGAATTTTCTAGGGTCAAATCATTTGTGACCATAGCGGGGTTTGAAAGGTAGCTTTGCTGCAATAAAAAAATGTCGTGAGGGGAAGCATACTAATTATCTCAAGGGGTCACTTAAAGAGACACTGAAGTCAAATAACAATTTACGTCAGAGTGAAAGCTCAATGTATGACAACATCTAAACCCTTCTTATCGAGAAATTAAGGTATGTGCATAGGAACAGAAGTGCCGCAGTAGGACATTTTCAAAATGATCCCGATGACATCAGATGGACTGCCTACACATAATCACTAGTAATTGATTTAACTGTGCTAAATAAAGAACCTTCCGTGCATTAAGAGGCGCAATAAAATGCTGCTTGTTCGTTTCTGTTTGATACATGAAAAAGAAGAACCGCCAGACGTTACTATGAGGAATGGTGCAAGTGGTTCTAAAATTCAATTTTCGTGTGGTTACACAGGACAGGTAGTGCCATTACTATGGGGAATGGCGCAAGTCGTTCGAAAATTCAATTCTCACGTGGTTACATGGGACAGGTGGTGCCATCTAGCGGGGCGCAGTTGAAACAAATGCGTCTGCAATCTCGAAGTCAATGGCGGGAAATTGATCAATGGCCGTTATTGGTGCTGTGGCTCCCGCTGCTTTCACTCTGGTGCTACCAGCGCAGTAAAGCAGGGCAAAGTGCATGGCAACAGTGACGCGAAACGGTCCGGTCGGTTCGCTTGTTGAGGGGGGTAATTTGAAGTGTGCTAACCCGATGCGGAGCAGTAAAACGTGATTTTATTTCAAAATAGGCCCTTCCTTGGCACGAAAGTAACACTATGAGGTTTCTGGACTGCCATTTCAACAATAAACGTCAACTTAATGGTTGGCTTTAGTGTCCCTTTAACTGAATGGTGATTGTGTTTTATCTTTTAAAAAGTCACAGTTCTGTCGCAAAGGCGAAGAAATGAACACGATAGCAATGAATTGGCAGGTCATGCGCACAATGACAAGCAGATCGAAACGTGCTTTGTGTTTCTCACGCACAATTGACTCACGAAGCGTACTTACAAGTACAAATGAATGCGAATAAGCATCTCGGTTGTTACTTAACTGTGTCTAAAAACCGCGTCCTTTTTGCAAACGGAGACTGTGCAACGATTGCAGTGACCTTTGTGCACCAGGTAACTACAACAGCATTGTTCTGGTGAAAGCCAAAGGCCAGCCAAGATGTACGATTGTCCTCACTGTGAGATAAGCATGTGCGTTAGCGTCCACCATGCTCCCTCTCCGCGGGGCAAAGTATGCGTGGAAGATGAGAGGGCGTGCCGCTGCGTCCTGACAATGGGGCCAGCTTGCTGGTGATTCATGGTAATAAGGGCTGCAGCGTGAGCATGAAGGTGCTAGAAGAAACGTGAAACGAAAGGCGAGGCAAGGAAAGCAAAGAGGACAACACGAGCCTCTTTGCTTTCCTTGCCTCGCCTTTCGTTTCACGTTTCTTCTAGCACCTTCGTGCTCCCGCTGCAGCCCTTATTACCACGAATTCAAACCAACTAGCGCAAAAAGCCGTTCTTCTTCATTGCTGGTGATTCTGGAAGCATGATAGTTCCCCCCTCGAGATGCTCATCACCTGCGGTAAGTGGTAGATATAAATAGCTTGCCGTTTGAACGTTGGAGAAGGTGTTCTTTGTGGCTCAGTGGTTAACGCCTCGCACTTACAATTCAGAGGTCTCATGTTTGATTCTGGGCGCCGGAGTCTTTTTCTGAAATATTATTTATTGCGTTTTCATATATATAGATGAGTATACATATATTATGAATGACGGCGACGCCGACGGCAAAATCCAGCCGAGAGTGTTCATATGGTTGCTATAATATAATAATATTAGACTGCAGCGGATCTTGAAAGGCAGCTTTGCTGCAATATGAGAATATGATGAGGTGAAGCATACTACAGTTCTGCAGGTATCACTTTCAATTGGACGTTGACTGCATGTGTCTGGAAATTCCGAATAGTTGGAATAGTATATTGAATACTATTAAAAGTATGTTGAAATGCTATTAAAAGATATTTTAAATTTCAAATATTTGCACACCCCAACTTGAAAGAGTAGCGTAAGCTGAAAAATGAGACGCGCTGTCTCTGTCTCTTCGTTGTTTTTCTCGTTAACCTTGCACGATGTCTTTCAGGCCACTGTTTCACCTCACCATTCCAAAATGGCTTTTTGTGTAAAAGACCTGCTAAAAACTCATTGAACTTGAAAAGAGTGCTTTGCAGTATTAAAGGCAACTTGATGCTTGAAATCCTGTACCCAGATAGTGAAATATGAGTTGCTTACTTGCAGCACGCAAGTGGCAGCAGTTGCAGTCCAAGCGGTATGCTGAAAAGCGCAAGTTTGGCTTTGTGGATGCACAGAAGGAAGACATGCCACCGGAGCACATCCGCAAGATCATTCGTGACCACGGTGACATGAGCAGTCGCAAGTATCGGCATGACAAGCGTGTTTACCTGGGGTGAGCTTCTTTTCTCTAGGCTAACTATTATTTGTTCTTTTGGTGATGTCTTTGTCCAGGAGTAGACACAGCTTTTATACCCTCTAGAAAGAGATGCCGTAAGGCAGTTAAAATAGCAGACAATGAGGCATTCTAAAATTTTACTATTTAATGAACTTAAATTTTGCTTGTCTGTGTTTATGATAATCAGTATAGACTGTGGCGTAGTTTTCTATTGGTCTTGGCATTACGTTCAGGTGCATTTCTGCTTTGAACTTGCAAAAGGTAAGTGTGCATTAAATCTCGAGTATGAATAGTAAAGGCAGGCGCTTTATCTAAGGGTAACGAGCCTGAGCCTATTTGCATTAGTGCCATCCTAACTATTAGTGCCATCCAGTAGGCACCATTGTAGGTGCAGGGTGTGTGGAGGTCGTTGGAATCTTTGAAAACGCTTGAATTTGAAATATGTATTTTCAAGTCCCTTGAAAGTCCTGCAATTATTTGCTGTCCTTAAAAATTCTTGAATTTCCTGAGTCGTGCACTCTCATATCGGCATCCTAAATGTGGCAGATCAGTGTGTCAACTTGTCAAACTACCCATTTTCGAAGCAGTAATATGCAGCATAGGCGCACATGGTCTCATTTGAAAAAAAAAAAAAAAAGCTAGTTTTGTTACGAGAGCGAAGTAGTGAATGCTATGGCAAAATGTTAGAATGTGAGACGAAGAAGGGCAAGAAACTCGATACATGCAACGTGCCTTTCAAGCACAAAGGACTCTCAAAAAGAATATGCACAGGACAAGTACTAGTGAACAATTGTCACAGCTCGACACTGGAAGCGTGCTGCTTTAAACACCAAGAAGGATGCTAGAAAAGAACACGCATGTAACCACTGGATGAGTGCAAATTAACCACTGCCACTGTTGTTACCCTGGTGTTGAAGCGGCATGCTGCAAATGTCTGCTGTGCACAAGCCATCGCTCTTGATGAAGTGGTGCCATCAAATTTCAAGGCTATAGCAAGCGTCGTGTGGGTTTCCTCTGTACGCAAGGACATTCCACATGAATGGTCAGACTATGAAAATTTTTAGAATATATTTTAATTCTCTTCCAAAGTGTACCTAAAAGCTCATTCTCCCGATCGAGGCCCATTAGGAGCGCGGCCAACACTGACACAGTTCTATGGAAAGGGCAACCAAAGTTGTAGTTATGTCACACCAGATCTGTAGTGAGGTGAGTGACCTCCGGGCTTCTGCCACGTATGCGTACCAGCAAAGCATCGCGACTGCTGCACCTAGTGGCGCATTTGTTTTTGCAGGTGCTTGTGCTGCACATGTGTGCGAGAGCAGATGATACTCAGAATGATGCGCACATGAGATCATGTGACTAAGTCATCTACACTGTTATGTCTCTGCCCGAATCGGTCCCCAAAAAACAAAACTGAAAATTGTCCACATCACAATAAGGTGATGTTAAATTATTTACCGAAAATAAATGAATGTTGGTGCATGTGTCGTGCTTGTTGGAGCTATTGGAAACACTTGCAGGAAAGAATATTGGGCCTCTTTTAAGGCCTACTTACACATACGTGTTGAAGCCTGTCAGCGCATAACTTCTTGACATCATGCCCTCTTCCTATGGAGAGCGAGGTAAAGGGTGCAGTGCCCTGTCAAAAAGCCAGGTACCAAAATGCTGTAACGCTTGTTTGAGGTCAAGCCTTTGCAGTTTTGCAAATCCATGGGGGGTTTGGCTTACTGCTAACCATGAGTCGTTCGTGACCTGAGCATTGCCGAAGGCTTTACACATGCTGGAGAAGCCACTGCGCCTTTCGTGCGACTTGGATGAGGCGAAAGAAAAATCATTTCGTGCTACTGAAGTGCACTGACTAGGAAATGACAGGTTTTTATGTACAGCAGTAATTATTGTTTCACCAACCGCACAAAAAAACTATGCATGTTTAACATGGTTTGCGCACTGCGGTGACATCGAAATGTTTTCTCAATTGTGCAGAACGCCAACACCACAACTATGTTACGTAACCGCTCAACGACTCACTTAAAGTAGCATGAGTGTGTACAAAGAGATAAGGTCCAGCACACGCTGAAGAGAGATCGAACTGACCAAAGTCGTCACTCTGCATCGGTCATGCTTTCTTCTCGTGATGTTGCTGCCGCTGCCAGGTCTGAAAAAGCCAGACAGACCTGTAGCGAAGGTGAAATCTGTGCTCTCATTACTTGCCCCTCTCAAGCACTATACTTAATGCTTTTTTGATAGCTTTGTACATTTTCATTCCAAACTACACTGAAGAGAAAAAAAGCTTGTGTTGCATGTTTTTTGCTTGTGTAGTGCGTGAACTTGCAAAATTGTGAACCTGCCACTAGCTTTCCTCTCGGATGACGTCAATGAAGTGCATACCTTCTATACATTCATACATTTATCTGAAATGACATTATGCTTAATGTTTTGAATTTGTTTGGTGAACTTCACAGAGCTCGTAGTGGAGTAGCACAGTGGACTCCCGATAAACGAAACTCGCTTAAATGAAAATGCCTCATTTACGGAACTAAACGGGCTCATATGGCTGAGTATTTATGTGTTGCGCAGTAAAATTCGTCGGTTAATCGAAACAGTGCTTTTGATCGCCTACGGTTAAACGGCACAAACTACAAACACAGCATAGACTCGCTCAGGCTAAAGGTAGTCTGACAACCACGGCAACACCTTGAAACAAGCCAACCCAGTAGCCATTTTCACTTGCGGCTGTGGGAGCCGAGTCGGCTAGTCAGTTGTGTGTTAGGCCTATTCGTGCGGCCAAGTGCGGTGGATCACGCTGTTATTTCAGCCAGGTGGAAAGGAAGCGGCCGCACCATGCACTCTTGCTTGAAAAAAAAGCTGTGAATTCTTCAGGAGCTTGATCGAAGCGGCCTGCGCAAGGCAGAGGTGGCGAAATAATACGACATACCGAAATCGACGCTGTCACGGATCCACAATGATAGAGAAAATATTGAAGGCACTTGAAAGAACGGGACCTTTACATCTAAACGAATACGGATGCGGACGTCGCCTTATTAACAACTAGAAAAAGTTCTTTTTCTCTGGTTCAACTGTGCACAAAGTTCCAATTTGCCCATAAGCGGACCGATTCTCGAGCAGAAAACTCGAGAGACCGCCATGCAAATGGGTGTTGAGAACTTCGTCCTAAGCGACGAATTGCTCTACCGCTTCAAAACACACCATGGCCTAGTCTTCAAAGCAATCTCAGGCGAGAGTGCTGCATTCAACAGGGGTGGCGCAGGGAAATTTTGATTGATGAGCTTTGAGCCACGAGACGTCTTCAACGTTGACGAGATGGGTCTTTTTTATAAGGCGCTTCCATCAAAGACTCTCACCTTCAAAGGCGAAGCCTGTTGTGGAGGAAAACGGAGTAAAGATCGCATCACTGTGCTGGTGGGTGCAAACATGGCAGGAGATGAGAAATTGAAGCTGTTGGTAATAGGAAAATTAAGGCAACCACATTGTTTCAAAGGTGTTTGACACTTCCCGTTGCGTACCATGTGAACGGAAGAGGGTGGACGACCATGGCCATTTTCGAAAACTGGCTACGGAAGGAAGACGCAAGATTTACAAGGCAAGGCAGGAAGGTTGTCTTCATCATAGATGATTGCCCAGCTCACGGTCAGGTTGAAAGACCCTAAGCCATCACTCTGGAGTTCTTGCCAGCCAATGCAACGGCAGTGATCCAGCCGATGGATCCAGGGGTTATTCAGAACATTAAAGTTCATTACTGCAGACGATTGCTTCATTGAATGCTGCTTTGTGCAGACAGCGGGAAATGCTACAGCATAGATTTATTGGCAGCCATCCACATTTTGGCTCATGCCTGGGAGCAAGTGAAGGCAACAACAATACACAGATGCTTTCATCATGCTGGCTTTCAAGTGGAAGAAGCAGTACCTGATTAAGAATAAAGCTCTGCTGACGCCGACATTGAGGCAGTATTCAGTGAGGTCGTGCCCTCGGCCCCTTTCATGCTACAGGACTACGAATCGATGGATGAAAATGTTCGTACCTGTCGTGAAAAGACTGTCAAGGAAATGATTGCTGATGTGCAAGATGAGGATCAACCTTGCAGCGATGAATGAGATGACAATATCGCCAGTGGAGTGGTGCCACCAGACTGATCAGCTAAAGAGGCTGTTGAACTTTTGCTGTGCATTTTGAGCATGAGGCTTGTCCAGAATTTCTGGCTAGTTTGTCAGGTATGGGTGCGTACCTTGTGAAAAAACAACTCGAGCTTGCCAAACAAACCACCCTTCACTCATTTTTTTCTCCTATTCATCCTCATGAGTAAGGTGAGGTTTGTGCAATTTGAATAGAAGTTTTGGTTCACTAAATAAGTGTACTTTGCTTAAATGAAACTTCTGATAAATGGAACAGTTTTATGCATTTTCTTCAAGTTCTGTTTAAGAGGAGTTGACTGTATCTCAATCTGGGTTGCAAGACTTCATTGTGAGTTGCGAGCTTTTTTTTTTTTTTTACTGTCTGGTACTTGCAGACTTATCCGGGCTAGTCATTATTAACATTGTAGCAAGCGTGCTCTTCAGAGGAGTTTCAGCAAGAAACTCGCCAGGGCAAGCAAGACAGCTGCAGCACAGAAAACAGGAGGCCGAGAGCGCGACACACGAACTTCGTCGTCTTTTCTCTCCCTGGCACAGAGCTAGCGCCGATGTGCACCGGTACAACATCATTAACATATATATTTATTCATCTTTATATAAGTGAAATACCACTCTAATGGATGATCTTCGTGGATGCTAGTTCATCGCCATTTAGGAGGTCCGCTCTCTCATCGCACACGCAAAAAACTTGCTTCATACGGTGTGTCTTGACATTCGTACAGTAACTTGAACGTCTAGAGACCTGCGGAACACCTCCTGCATGCTGAAGCCCGACCAGCGAGACAGCACTATGCTCAGCACGCACGAACAGACCTTAAAGGGGCCCTGCAACACTTTTTGAGCATGGTTAGAAAACGATGCCGATCAAACGACACGCAAGTCAAACATTATAGCGTAGTGCGCGACCTGGAATTCACAATAAATTATTAAAGTTAGCTAAAAATAGCTTTCTCTTCTCCCGATAAATCACGAAATAAGCCCAAAAATTCCTCGTAGTAAGCCCATCTATCAGCCGTTGGCTGATTTGAACATGGCGCACTCGGTTGTTACAGAGGTCGCCGCAAAAGGCCGTCACTTATTCACGCGTGCTTGTGATCACCCTGAAAAAGCCGCGTATTCGAAGAGAAAAAAAAAAAAAGAAAAAAAGTGCTCAAGGTTACGAGGCGTGTGTGGCGTTTTTTGTTGGCCCCTCCCATCCCTCCTTGCTTAACTTCCAGCGCTTTCGTAGGGACGAAAGAAGATAGAATGCGATTGCAGCATGTGATAAATCTTTGCAACTCAGCTCGTACTTGATGGATTCTTAAAATTTTTGCGCCGTTCAATTTGTGAGGCAATACGCTTTTTCAGTGAATTAATTAAGAGTGTCGAAGCGCACTTTTAGCTTGTGTGGCATTCGATATATCCGTGGGTAAAAGTACCATTTGATATAAATCTGCCAATTTCTATACTTTTACTTTGAAAGTTTGATATACCCGAAAATTCGATATATGTGGCTTAGATATAACGGTGTTCGACTGTATACTCTACTGCAACTAAGTGGGACCTTGTACACTACTCCAACTGATCAGGCGACATATGGCCTTGTGTGCCTCCTCCCACACGGGGAGGGCCTTGGTGCAGTAGAAATTCGTGGGCACAGGCTAGCCAACCTATGGGGTGCCGAGAACACTAAAGGTACCTTGTACCTGTTAGCTGTGTTCATAAGGTTGTGAGCAATCTTGCAGCTGATGGAAAAATAGGCCCATTGTTATGCCATACGTGCACGAGATAAGACAGGCATTTATTGTCAGGGTATTGTGGTTGTGATGAAAGTATACCGCATAACAATATTATGTGATTTCCACCTTGTGTTGCAGAGCGCTGAAGTACATGCCGCATGCTGTGCTCAAGCTGATGGAGAACATGCCGATGCCCTGGGAGCAGATCCGAGATGTCAAGGTTCTCTACCACATCACTGGGGCCATTACTTTTGTGAACGAGATTCCTTGGGTCATCGAATCGGTCTACATTGCTCAGTGGGGGTAAGCATTCCGAGTAGACTAACTGGTCCCATCATAATAATTGATGATGCTCGTGGTAATGAAGCGTGGCTTTTCTTTGCACCTTGACCCCTAGCTTAGCGTGTGGCTGGATTGCCGAGAACCACTGTTAGATGACAACACGGGGGCCCGGGCTACGATGACGGGCCTCATTGTCTCGTGCAGGCTATGCTTCTTTCCCTTTTGCTGTGCATACGTTCAGGTGCTGTAAGTTGTAGATCACGACATGCTAGTTTACATCACTGCCACATCTATCCTCACTGGTCACCAATGAAAGCTTCCTCTTCGGCTGAGTTGTCTGGCGCTGGCTCATTACGGAGAGATGCTCGCATTCTTGCAAATGGAAGGTCATGAGCTGCCTTTGCAGGCAACTGCTCATTTTCATGCTTGATGGTTTCCGTTGTGTGGTAGCCATAGTGCCGCAGGCAAGCATACTGTAGCGACTGGGGTAATTTGTCAGGATCCGGAGCATCCAAGGGTCAGGGGGAAAACAAACCGTGGAGCTGGAGCTGAAAACTGGGACGTTTATTTACAAATAATTACATTATTTAGGTAGTGTGATGTTACATGAAAAAAAAAAGGAAGCTTCTCTAGAGTGTCTTGCACTTGCATTTTTATCTCCTGCTCTTCCCAAAATTCCCTGAAGGTAATACAATTGAGGCCAGAATACTCGAATGAAACCAAAGTCTTGATTTGCACCCCCGAAGAGGAAAAGTCGAACATTGCCTCCTTCCCAACCTCGAAAAGAGGTAAAAAGGCCCAGTTTGTTGCACTGGGAGGAAGAAACACAAACAATATACTACACAACCAGCGCAGTGCAATGGCGGGCAGTATCACGCGCAGAGATGACTCATCGGGGAGGCATCGCTACCGGGCAGGTCGCTGTGCGTGGCAAATGAAAACTGGAAAGGCACAATGGAAAGCGAAAAACGCCCCCGAAGATGGTTTCCCAGCGCTCGGCTCATTGTCAGGTGCATTTCGACGGCCCGAACAGCGCAGAGGTGACCACTCTTTCTAGGTAGCCCAGACAGCAAACAATCTTTTCTAGGTAATCCGTCGGTCGTGCGTGTCCAATAGGCTTTTGGCAAGACGAGCCGATGGCCCTGAAGAATTCGTTGTATACTACTGCTGTGTTGTCGCAGATTCTGCACACCTCAGGAAGCGCTGCATAGCCTGAACCCTTTCACGCAACCAAGCGGTGCCAAGACATGGGGGCCGATCGCAACAAGACTCAATTGGTCTTATGGAGTTACCCAGTACAACCCGCTATCCTGTTATTGTCACACTGGGCTGCATATGAGTTAATAAACCCGTGGTTGTTGACCACCTGGGTCGGGTGCCTGTTCAGTGCCGTGTAAGAGAGCCAGAAAACTTGGCTATTATGTCATTGCGCACCAATGGTGAACATCTCGTCTCTTTTTGGTTGTGCTCATTGGATGAAGCACCCTATCTCGGCACACTGAATGTTTCATTTTCATCAGTTAATTCAAAAAGTGCCATAGTTATTTTTATATTAGTGGCACCCAGGCTTGTACCCAGGAACTTTTTTCAGGGGGGCCCAACCCAAGGTAACTTTTTCATGTTAATTAAGGGGGGGGGGGGGGGGGGGAAGGGGTAACTTGAGCATAAAATGCTGAAAACCTTCAAATTTGAGAAGTAGATTTTCAAGGCCCTTTAATTGTATTCTATCCGCATCACCGATTCCTAGGAGTCGTGATCGACCGAAACTTGTCCTGGTCGAATCATGTGTCGATGCTTAGATCCAAAATAAGTAGCTTCGTACATATGCTTAGATATATAAAAGGCATGAAATGGGGCTTATAAGAAAGGTCATTGCTCCAACTGTATGAGGCACTTTCGTAGGCTACCTGCGATATAGTTTACCCATTATGACCAGTATTCGCCCCTCCTGCCTGCGTACATTGCAAAGCATGCAAGCTAAGGCATTGAGAACATGTCTTGGACTGCCACGCTTTACTTCAACGATTGGAGTTATTGCAGAAGCGTGCATAACTCCAATAGACAGCTATTATTATGCGAATCTTTAAGAGTATATCTTCGACTGTTTTATTTTTTTTATTTACAATACTGCTAGCCCTTGCGGGCTGTAGCAGGGGTGGGAGGTGAACAGGTGAACAATACACAAACAATGTTAGGCAAAAAACAAGTCCAGCCGTCGTTGAAAATCCTGTGAGGATCTACATCCTGTAAGTACCTCGGGAGGAAGCGCATTCCAGTCAACAATAGATCGCACCAGAAACGAGAACTTAAATACATCCACCCGCGGTACATAAGCTTGGACAGAAAATGAGTGATTCGTACGAGCCGACACTCGTCCTGGGGGGCGCAGGTATACACTGGGATCCAGCTTGTAGTTCTTATGATACAGGTCATAAATAAATTTTAAGCGAGCTATTTTTATACGTGTAGCTAACGATTGAAGGTCAGCCCTAGCAAGCAAAAGTGATACAGACTGTGTTCTCATGTAATTTGAATAAATAAACCTCGCGGCCAATCTTTGTACTCGTTCAAGTTTGTTAATTTCAGTTTTAGTATGCGGATCCCAGATAATAGCTGCGTACTCCAGCGTTGGTCTAACAATAGTCTTATACGCCAACAATTTAACAGAGGGCGTTGCATTACGGAGTTTCCTTCTCAGAAAACCCAGCTTTCTCTTCGCCAGTCCTGTAATGTTGTCAATATGCTTGTCCCACTTTAAACTGCTGGATATAGTAACACCTAAGTATTTAAACTCATTAGAACTCTTAATTTCTCTATTGTTTATTGTGTATTTATAGTTAAGGGGGGATTTTTTATTTGAAATTGTCATGCAAACAGTTTTATCAAGATTAATTTTTATGTCCTATTTTTCACACCAGTTGTCAATACATCGAAGAGCATCATTGAGGAGCATTTGATCAGAAACACTTTTCACATGACAAAACAAGAGACAATCATCTGCATATAACCTTACATCAACAAAAGGAGGCACAACCGTTGCAATATAATTCACATAAATTAAAAAGAGTAGAGCTCCCAACACGGAGCCTTGTGGCACACCTGAGGATACGCGTAAAAGAGAAGAACGTGCGCCACTTATTTCAACAAACTGCAACCTATTGCGCAAGTACGCTTCAACCCATCTTACAATTGCGGGATCAATACCAACTATTAACATTTTTTGAATAAGTTTCTGGTGACATACTCTATCAAAGGCCTTAGAGAAATCAATTGCTATGACATCGACTTGTTCTTTTGAGTTTATCGCTGTAGCGAAAGCATGAACAGATTCAAAAAGCTGAGTGACGGTTGAAAGGCCTTTTCTAAAACCGTGTTGCTTATTATAAAACAGATTATTGTTTTCTATATATTGAAATATATATTTTGAAATTATATGTTCTATTACTTTGCACGCCGTGCATGTGATAGAAATTGGACGATAATTACAAACATTAAGGCGGTCACCAGCTTTGAAAATGGGCGCAACTCTTGCTAATAACCAATCAATCGGAACAGCGGCAGTACACAAAGATAAATTAAAAATTTTAACTAAGAAACTAGAAACCCAATCAGAGTAGCGCCTCAAAAATTCATTGGGAATCATATCCGGACCAGGTGATTTTTTATGATCCAATTCAAGCAGTAATGCCATTACGCCCTCTTTAGATACGGTAAGAAGATTGGAACTAGTATCATCGAACGTACAGCTTTTTGAATGATCAATACTTGGAGAAAAAACAGTACTGAAGTAATGATTGAGTGCTTCGGCAATCTGAATCGGTTCGCTATAGGAGGTCCCGTCTATAGAAAGCCCAGTTATTTCAGACTGCGAACTAGACAGGTACCGCCAAAATTTCTGGGGAGAGTTGGATATGTATTCAGACAATATATTAGTTAGAAAATTACTTTTAGATTGCTTGACTTCTCTTCGTACCTGAGCACTAATGTGAGCAATAACAGACGAGTTTCTTGGTATTTTCTGACGGGCGCGACATAGTCGTCGTTTTAGGTGAATGATACTTCTGGTAATCCATGGGTTAGCTTTTGCAGTTCTCTTTTCTCTTTGGGGAACAAAACGTGACAAACAGTCGTTTACTACCTTCTTAAAGTATTCCCAGAGGTTATTTACATCATCTGTAGGCGGGATAGTGTCAAAAGCCATTTCTAAGTAATCAAGAATTGAGGTATCATCTGCGGCCTGAAAATTGTACACCTTTACTCTGGTAATTTTTTCTAATTTTTTATTTGGTTTAAGAGTTGCTGCAACCACCTTATGATCCGAGATTCCATCCTCGATGCTTATTTCATAATCAAACACTTCCTGTGACAAAAATAGTAAGTCCAACACTGTCTCGGTTTGTCCTTGAACTCGAGTGGGCTTGTCAACTACCTGAACCAAATCGTACTTGATCATGATGTCAAGCAGATTTTCTGCAAGAGGCCTGTTAAGCGGCCCAGCAACTCCTGCATTCCAGTCAACACCTGGTAAATTAAAATCGCCTGTGATTATTACTCTGCTTCGTTTGTTTGTCATTGTTAGCAAGTAGTCATCCAATTTCTCAAAAATATCAACTGAAGTTCCGGGGGGCCTATAGGGAACCCCTATAAGTAACATGATATCTCCCATAAATAATTTGCACCACACGTTCTCACAGTCTTTAATGGGCGACAATAATTCGTACCGAAGAGTTTTCTTAATCAGTAAAGCAATGCCTCCGCCTCGGGTTAGTCTGTCATTACTCAGTACATGAAATGAAATGGGAAAAACATCCGTATCTGCAACATCCTCTGTTAGCCAAGTTTCTGTTACAGCCACGAAGTCAGGGTCATAAATTAGTGTCAACGATTCTAGTTCTTCTGTTTTGTTCAAAACGCTTTGTGCGTTCACGTTTATCAGTTTTATGTCGCACTGCTTCTTTTGTCAGACCGGGCTGCGTGCTTCGCTTTGAGCGTTCTTAACTTTCACGCGTGTATGGGAGCGGGAATCCCACGTATAAGCAGCGTCGTCGATGTAAAGCTTAGCTCGAACAAGCTTCACCTTCGCACCATTGCACCTATCATCAAGAGCAGAGCGCCAAAGGGACTTCCTTTTTTCTAATGTTTCTTTTGAGTAGTCGTCAGAGACTCCGATATTAGTACCTCTCAATTTTTTGCAGCTCCTAAATATGGCCATCTTTTCATTGTAGTCATAAAATCTTACAATTATTGGTCTGTCCTGTTTGCTTTTCTTCTGACCAATGCGGTGAATTCTTTCTACTGAGGACACTGTAACACCAAGGCGCGTTGAGAATATGTTTTTTAATACTTTCTCTTCAATGTCCTGTCGTGTTTCCTTATCAGTCTCAGTGACACCAAAAACAAGATTATTTCTTCTAGCCCTGTCTTCCAATTCGTTTAACCTTTCTTGCTGTTGTTCAATCGTGCGCTGGAGGCTTTCAACAGCAATGTCAAGGTTATTTATCTTAGCAGCATATTCAGACAAGGGTTCCAATTTTTCTTCTATCTGAGTTAGCCTAGCTTGTATTTGAGTTTGTGTCTTTAAGATTGTCTCTAGCATTTCCTCAACAGTAGGTCCGGGATTGAGTTCAATGTCCCCGGAAAGCATTAGCACCAATTCTGATCACAACTTGAACAAAATGTCAAAACAATTCGCTGGGAGCGGCAGCACAATCAAAAAAAGATTGCAGGAACGATAGTAAGATGCAGGAGCATAATAACCAACCTGCAAGATAAGCCACGCATGTTTCAGCGACATTGCTGCTGTAGTGCCGCCGCTCCCACTGAGGTGCCGCTGAAGCGGACGAGGTTTTATGTCTTCTTCGCGTGGTGACGTCACCGAAGTCTTCCAGTTCCATAGGTTGGCCCCGACGACGTCACGGGATGCTGTCGGGGATAATCTGGGCAGGGCCGGGACTTTGTCGGTCGATGTTGGAGCACTGAGCACGAGCGGCACCATCTGCAAGATAGGCCACGCATGTTTCAGCGACATTGCTGCTGTAGTGCCGCCGCTCCCACTGAGGTGCCGCTGAAGCGGACGAGGTTTTATGTCTTCTTCGCGTGGTGACGTCACCGAAGTCTTCCAGTTCCATAGGTTGGCCCCGACGGTCGTCACGGTCGTCATCCTTTGTCGACGACACCAACCGACCGGACAGCACTTTTGCAGAAGCAATCTTGCACCATGAGAGCGTTGCTTCCCTCAGGCGTTGCTCCGGTGAAAGTTGCAGAGGCACCAGCATGGACGTTATCAAGACCTGAGGTGCGCCTATCCGTTCCAGAAAAGGGTAAAAAATCGCATATGCCCTCATGTGGCCCGAAACAAGTAACTTTATCGTTTATATCCACAAAGTATGCCTCTTCCACACTTACTTAGTAACTGATGGGTCTGTGTTACCCACTGCTTCAACAGCGGTGTTCGTCATGCCAAGTGTAAAGACCAGCGAAAGCTTCCGTCTGGATCATCAACGAACATCAATGGTAGCAGATGTTGTGGCCATCTGCAAGGTAATTCGTTATATATCGACGCAGCCTCCTCGCAGCTGGACTATATTTTGTAATTCTAAACCAGCACTTCGAGTCATAAATTCGGTGCATAAATGGGGGCCATATCATCTTCTTGCTCAAGAAGTGGCTGAATCACATGATGTAGCCCTGAAACATGGCCGTCGTATAAGGTATCAGTGGATTGCAAGACACTGTGGCCTACATGGAAATAAGCAAGCCGATGTGGAGGCAATGACGGTTCACGATAACGCCGCAATATTGACTATTTCGTTTTCACGACCGGATACTAACTCTGTTGTGTATACACTCCTCCGAGAAACAACAGCAGCATATTGGTCTTTACCAAGTAACCATACCGTCGTCTTCATGGACTTGACCCAGTTATGCATGTTAGATTATTGCCAACCATGAAAAGGTGCTGTACAAGCTTGTTGCACAGGTTACAATTAGCTGTGGCGTTTACTCATCGTTACATATACCTTATCGGCTGTGCAGACAGTCCCAGTTGTAAGGCCTGTGGCACCACTGAGACAACTGAACATATGCGTCTGCCCACGATATATCACGCAAAGAAATTACATGGCAACCGTCTTGATGAAATGTACCAAGCAGCAAGTTTCCAAAAAAGTTCTTTCGGGACCGCCACCTTGTCATCAGTGCAATATTCTGAAAGCGCTGATCAAGTTTTTAAGAGATACAGAACTCGACAACAGATTATAAATTTATCTAAGGTCTTGCTTCATCGCCACCTTCCTCCTCATCATCATCATCTTCTTCTCTCTCTACTTTCTTCTCTACTGCCTCCCCTTTCTTAATGCTGAGGAGCAGGCTAGAACATGGATTCAGGCCAACCTCTCACCTTTTATGTATCAATAAACATTTTTCTCTCTCTCTCTCTGTCCTTAGAAAATTCCTGAATTTCGGGACCAGTGTGGTCCCATGTCCACAGTGCGACCTGCTCTTGGGTCTAGATTGGCAATGATGTGGCAAAGTTACCGTTTCAGAAATAATAATGCAGTCAAATCTCATTAATTTGAACATGCTTAATTCGAACTTCCGGTTAATTCACGCTGTGGTCTCGTCAAAGCTATGTGTACTCCAATGGGGGAAAACGCCCTGTAATTCAAATGCGCAAGCACTTGCGACAGTGAATTCAAACATAGAGTGCTCCGAAAATGCTCTCAGCACCATGCTTAATCCCGCGGCGACACGTCCGACACCTCAACGCTGCACGCGAAGGAAAAAAAGAAAAGGAAAGACAAAGCTGTGGCGGAACGTTAGCTCTCTGTCAAATGCCGATCTGCGACGCACCTGTGCCACGCTTCTCCCTTTTCCGTCCCTGCTACGTAGAGAGCCCCCCCCCCCCCCCCCCTAAAAAAAGAACAAGCTGTCGCAAAGTGTTGGTTCTCTCTGAAATGCTGATCTGCTTCTCTCCGCGTGGAGAGGCTCCTGCTTTCTCGTCATGCGCTGGCCATGCTCCGGATGCGGCGCAGAGGGTAGCAGCAGAGACGCAGTCATATCTGTCGTCTTTAGAGAGTGTTAGCGCTGCACTTAGCCGTGCACTACTTCTTTTGCCAGGAGAATGCTGAAGCCGAAGTTAAAATACTTTGCAAACTGCGTGCGAAATTGATTGACTTGCTTCAAGGCAAATGTGTGCTGACGTGCGTCACCGATGACTTCAATTAATGACGGATGTCCTGTGATTTGTGAATAAATGTAAGTCTTCTGAAGCTTCTGCCTCGTGTGTTAACTCAATGCACATGCGCCACTGCCGTTCATTAACCTTTCATAAATTCAAACTTCTTTTATTTCGAAGAAATTTTTAGGCCCCATTTTTTGGGCCCCTTCGAGTTCGAATTATCGAGATTCGACTGTACATGCAAATTCACATGTATTCTGTTTGTTCATACTTTTTTATATAGTTCATTTTGCTCCCCACCCTTCAGTGCACCTCGTCTCTCTTTCTCTAATTATGTCCCAACTAATTCACTCTTGTCCCCTGCATCTATGCTGCTTTTTTTTCTGGCAAGTGAGCGGTGCATGTGGTTAGTCTGACCTGTAATATCAGTCTTGGCATCTGTCCTTAACATTTTTGTGTTGGGAACTATTTTAATACCATCAAGGCTAGACTTTTCTGCTGTATAGTAATGCAGTTAAAACTTAACCTAACAAAACTTAATCTTTCATAGTTCCCAATCTCAGAGAAAAATTTTCATTCTGTCACAGACTTTATACTGAGTGCACACCCAGGCATCGTACAGGATGTGGAAGTGCTTGGCAAGGTACGATGCAGTGACCATAGAATGATACGGTCCCAAATTCGCCTAGACTTGAAGAAGGAACAACAGAAACTGATACGCAAGAAGCCAATCAATGAGCTAGCACTGAGAGGGAATGTACAGGAATTCAGTGTCTCGCTTCAGAACCCAGGTTCGAATCCCATTGTGTTATTGGTGTTTTTATTTACTGTGTCTTTTTCTTTTCGATATGGGTCACGGACACAGGCGGCGGTGCCGGATAACTACGGCGCCGCGCGTGACCCATGTTCTGATCTCATAACAGCTTTCGTTATAAAAAACCTTTTTGCTTTTAGGGCCACGCAAGCTCAGCGGCGCGATAATAAAGCGCAACTGCGCCCACTGCAACAACGGTGCGATGTGCACCCGTTACGTGCGTGCGCCGTCATCCGACATTGCGTTTTTGTTGTTTGGTTTGTCGCGGCGAACCTCATTGGGGGACACTGGCTGCGCAGGGCATGATCGGCCGGTAGGCTAGCTACATGGCGGGTTCTAAGCTTGCTCGCGAGCAGCTGGATGACACTTCAGTGTTGATCCATGTGTGTTTGTTACGGGAGAGAAACAAGAGGTTTCGGGCAGAAAGAAAAGGTTCGTCGTATATTTTGTGGGCCATAACAACGACAGTTCTTGCTTGTAGAGAGCGAAATTCTCGAATAGATGCTCCGTAGTCCTTCCACTGAATTAAAGGCTAGCTGCGGTTGGACAGTGAGTTTCATACTGTCATGCGGAACTTTTTTCTGTTATAACTCCGGTGACCTTTTTTTCTCTCATTGAATGAACCCTTTCTCCCAAATTTGCATCAACTTTTCTGGGAAAAAAAAGTCTGTTTCTTAAGCTAGTAAATACACTATTTACATTTAAAAATGTGGAGCTGGTAACTTCATCAAAAGGCGGATTCGCTGCTTCACGGTGGGGTTTTATTTGTTCCAAGAGCTGTGCTAAGATGGCTGTGCTCAGTGACATTGTGGTAGTTGACTATTTCATTGAAAATGAGATGACTCCTTTAGGTCACATGTATCATTGTTGTGTTAAGTTGCGATGCTTGAAGTGCCATTACAGCATTGTTATTGTGCAGAACTATGTGGATCATGATGCGTCGAGAGAAGCGGGATCGGCGACACTTCAAGAGAATGCGCTTTCCCCCTTTTGATGACGAGGAACCTCCACTGGACTATGCCGACAATGTACTGGATGTGGAACCTCTTGAGGCCATCCAGATGGACTTGGACAATGATGAAGACTCGCCTGTCTGCAAATGGTTCTACGATCACAAGCCACTAGCAGAAACCAAGTGCGTGGTTGTTCACCGGTGTCCTTTTAGTGGCATCTTTTCTTTTTGTTAGCGTGATCGTCTGAGTGCATAGTGAACAAGTGTCGGCCAATCTGCAGAAGTGTATATTGTATTTATTTAGCCTCTTCTAAATGCTACAAGTTTCATCAGTATTGCTACAAGAGTTGATAAACAAAATGTTTTGAGCATCTGGAGCTAAATAGTTGTCACCAGATTGTGTAGATTGTGAAGTGGGACTTCGTGATAATATTCTGGTTGATTTTGCGGTCCCTAGGAAGTTAAAAAAATCGAACATTGATTGTAATGCGTTTTGCTTGCATTACCACATTTATCCTTTGCCCGAAAAAAGTTTGTTTCTCCACATGTATAACGCACCCTTACAATGCATTGTTTTTATCATTAAAGTGCATTCATTACACAAGCTTATAGGGTAGTTCTAGCTCTCTAGCATGCTTAATCACTTTACCAGGCTTTCTACCTGCAAGGAAGACATGAATTCTTATACCACCAAGGCTATTTGAGATATTGTGAATGAAAACTTAGACTGATGTTTTATTAATATTGGTAGCTTGTATGCCGAATTTCTAGGCTTTTGCGAATAGTGAATTTTAAGTTTGAAGTGAATTAGAAGCAAATAGTGATTTTTGTCGAATAATTTCGAATCAAATTTGAAATATATATATGACATATGAAGCACAATGGGTGTATTTATCACGACCTAAGTAACCTGCACAATATTCTTTTAAAAATTCATTCAAAAACGGCTTCGATGCAAATGGCATTTCTTTTTTCATTCAAAAGAAGTCGAAAGAACTTTGAGTAATAGCAAGATTTGACTTTCAGCAGGATGCAAGTCATAACCTTTAAAATACGTAACATTTTAAAATTTATTATACTTGGAGCATATAAGCCATCATAACAAGCTTTTAAGCTTAATAAAATGAATTGATTTGAGGGTAATATGTTATTTTAAAGGGGCCATCCGAATTTCAAGTAGCATTGGAATGAATTCACTAAAGAAGCTTATTTTCTCATAAATTCACTGCCACAAAAATTGTTAGAATCTGTCGAGTATGTGCGGAGTTGCAAAAATTTCTCGTACGCTGCAAGTGCATTCTCTCTTCAAGTCCCGACGTAAGCACTGGAAGTTAAGCAGGGAGGGATGGCACGGAGAAAGAAAATACGTTACGTGTGTTTGCTGAGCTTGTGGAGAAATGATTCCACAAGCTCGGAAAGAAGAGAGCCATTTTCAACTAAGTTTGAGAATTTATTGTGAATTGCAAGCTGGGGGTGGGCTGCGCTATAATATTTGGCTTGCGTGTCCTCTGTAGCCTCAACTACTGATCGGCAGAGTTTTCTGACAATGCTCAAAAAGTGTTGCAGGGCCCCTTTGAATTTGTAGGGGGGGGCTTCGCAGCAGAGCGGATTTCTCCTAAGTGTTTTCACAGTTCAGCACGCCTATACTGCAGTGAAACCTTCTTTACAGGCGGTACATTCGGATTATTATGCATCTATCCGTTCCTTGTGAATACTTCGAAATTTTTGATAATTAAAATTTGAATCAAAGCGAATTCGAATACCCTACCATTCGTTCAAATATTTAAAGCAGTCGAATATTCGCACAAGTCTACAAATTTCAGAACTCTGTGGTAACAAACGAAGTTCTTAACAATACTCTCATCCCCCATTAAAGTACTCGAAAAATGTCACTGTTAAAATTAATTTACTGATACGTTCATGAAAATTGGGCTGTAAAGAGTGCCATGAAGTTGTTAGATATTTCTAAATATAAAACATGCTCAATTAAAATTTGTAAGAGATATTTGTGCCTCTACAGCCTTTTTAGGTCAGAAAAAGTGGCAATATACTGATTTGCTCCTCTTGGGTGCATGAAAATTCAATGATTCATTATTCATGCACAGCTGACATAGAAAGCGAAATTTTTCATTGTAGTTGGAGTTTTGTAGTGATGTTTGACTGAGTTTAGCACTGTTACTATCAGGCTGATTTGCACTCTTTGTTCTCAGTTGTTTTTTTATGCGGAACGGGATCGTGTCAACATATTTGCAGGCACATGAACGGTGTGACGTACAGGCATTGGAACCTGACTCTGCCCCAGATGGCGACCCTATACCGCTTGGCCAACCAGCTGCTCACTGATCTGGTGGATGACAACTACTTCTACTTGTTTGACCTCAAATCCTTCTTCACTGCCAAAGCTCTGAACATGTCCATTCCGGGAGGTCCAAAGTTTGAACCCCTTATCAAGGACATGAACCCAGCGTAAGAATGTTTACTATCTGGATGGAAGATTCAGCTTCAGCAGACTCGTGTCAAGACCAACTAACTGTGGACATTTTTTTTGCCTTATCAGGATCCTCTAGTGCATCCAGTCAGAATCACATATACCAACTTGCACAAATACAGTATTTTGTTCGATAACTCATACAGTTGAAACTCGTTAATTAGAACTGAGTTATATTATAATCGCACTTAATTTGGAGGATTCCTTAAGTACCGTATTTACCGTATTTACTCGATTCTACCGCGCCCTCGATTGTAACGCGCACCCGATTTCCACGACGAAAAAAAAAACAAAAAACAACGTAAGACATCGATTGCAACGCGCACCCATTTTTCTCGCTCACACCACTTGCACGATCACACCACTCGAAAAAACGACTCCTTTCGGGAGCATCTTCCATTTAAATATGAGGTACGGGCGAAGCGTGTGCCCATCTGACGTGTAACAGAGCATTGCCGTCACTGTAGTTTTACCGTGGACCGATGTCAGCACGCGAACTTGCTTCGCCCCCTTCTTCTCGACAGTTGTGGTGCCAGGCATGTCGAAGTAAAGAGGCGTCTAATCGGCATTCCCGATTTGCCCAAGCAGGTAGCCGTTGTTGTGCCGCAAGTTTAGGATGAACCTCTGAAAACTGTGAAGCTTTTCATCGTACTCCTCCGCAAAACTTTTCGCATATGCCCGTTCCCCTTCGGAGGGAAAAGCCTTTCCTCTTCATAAAGTTAGTTAGCCAGCACCTGCTCGCTTTAAACTGGCTCCGCATTAGACCTTTTTCTAAGGCTAACTGCATAGCCCGCACTTGGAGCAGTTCTGTCGTCACGGGCCGCTGTGCCGCTCGCTGCTCAAGCACATACTCGCCGAGCAGCTCTTTAATTTGCGGAAACCGACCCTGCTGTGCTCCACTGAAGCCTTTGCGTTAAGCTTTGCTGTCGACAATCTTCTGCTTTTGTTTCCGCCAGTCCCGCACGCACGTTTCGGGAACTCCGAACGACCGCGATGCAACCCGATTTCCGTCCGTTTCTGCACACGCGATGACTTCCCTTTTAAAAGCGGCATTGTGGTGCACTCGAGTTTTTGAGTCGGCCCTTTCATGCCGTTGATGCTAATGCACTACAAGATGACGAACTCCTCAGCACACGTACGAAGTTCTGCGCATGGGAAACACATAGGCAGAAGTGGCCAACGCGCCATGCCGACGCACGTAGGGGGCGGCCATTTTGGAAGTGCCGATGGCAATAGATTGACCGTATTCATTTTTTTCGTACACGATTCTAACGCGCATGCGATTTATGAACTCGCTTGACCGGAAAAAAGGTGCGCATTAGATTCGAGTAATTATGGTACTTGTTTAATGAACCCACTCGCATAACGAATCCGCTACCCACCTTGGTCCTTGAAAAAAAAAAAAAACTACTTTTAATGTATCTGTTCATTTAAGGGGAGACGCTCCTCGAAAGCACTTTTTTTTTGTTATTCAACTTAGAGCTTCAGAAATTGGACCACTGATGCAGTTTTTCCTCCTGATTCCAAATCTGTAATCAGTTTTTACATAAGTGCAATAGTTTGGGAGTTGTGTTTCAAGTAATGGTGAAACTTGATAAGTTTTCCGGGAACTTTCGCGCATACTAAATGTTCATGCAGAGAGTTGTTCAATGGCTCCTTTTGCTCCCTATTAGCCATAGAGTGCCGATATCTAGCTAGAAATTGTGCTCCAACTTTGAAACTATGAAAAAAACATCTGTGTAGCAAACTACCCTTTTTTTTCCACTCGACCACCATTAAATTTATTAATAGATATTTACAGCTGATAGGTTGTGCTGATTCAAGTAGATATCGGCACCCTACGCACTCTCCTCAATGTGTGTGCCAAATTTCGTCGTCGTATGACCATTCTAAGTGCCCGAAACACTTCCCGCAAAAAATGCAAATTGGCCAAAATTGCGAAATGAGAAAAACGCGTTTGAAAGTTTGAAAGTCTGTATTTACAAAAATGAAAAACGCAGTAGCACGAAACTTGTGCTGAACACATACACACATGTCCAGAGGGAATATCAGTTGTCTAAAACTCTCCAGCACCGTAGGTTTTCCCTTCCCGGCTGGTGCGGCAGGACTCTTCCACCCGGGCCCTCTTGGCTGCACTGCGACGGTGTGCCCTCGCCTCAGCGGTCTGACGCACATTCATCTTGTGCATGCGCATGCTGTCTCGGCGGTCGCTGAGGGTAACCAGGGCCTCCGAAGGAAGCACCCCAAGCTCTTCCAGCACCTTTTCAAAGCTCGCGTGGCCCCGGTTGAACCACAGGACTGCAATGGCTGTGGCTGTTTCCACAGCAGTCCGGGAAGCAAACCGGGTCTTTGGACACAGCAGCCATATTTTGCTGTTCAGGGACTCGGCCGCGTTCTGTGTCTTGCCGTGGAGGCACCGGGCAAGCAGCTTCGCATCTGTGAGACGCTTGTAGATTGGGAGGACTGCCAAACCCTGGGCCTTGGTCAGGAGGGGGGTGTGGCACGGTGCAGGCTGGCCCTGCGCCTCAGCACGTCGGTGCTTGCACCACGAGTCTGGGCCTGCAGGACAGAACTTGTGACTTCCAGCACCGTCTGTTGAGCACGAGTGCAAACATGAGGCCCATATGGCAGTGTACATCTTGTGGACATTTCCCCGATTGTTCACAATGGCCACCTGAAAGTAAGTTTGAAGCTTCTGGATGGTGGTCTCCTTCAGCTTCTCCCCTCGTGGAAGTGGCGTTGGCAGCTTCCGCAGGCCGGTGCCCAGACGTTTCGCCACGTGGTTGGTGCACTCCTCTTTTTCAATTGGAGTGTCAGGGTACACGTTGGCATCACAGACCCCGTTGTAGGCCTTGCTGTCTCCATCGCTTAGGAAGATGGTGAACCGCAGGGGTGTCTCATAGTCCACAGTCCTCTGCCAAATGCGCACTGCAGCTTCGGCCTCCATGGCATGCGAAGAACAGTCGCAATTCTTCTCACAAACGGGATGATGAAACGCCTGCCATGTTTCTTCATCGCCTCCCATGTCGTTATGCAAACTGCACGCCAGGCAGAAGTTGGAAAGCACTTCATAGTCCAGGCACAAACCAGTGTCCAAGGACACTACAGTTCCCACACCATTGTGGCTTTTGTGGCCTCTTTTTTGCCATGTGCCGTCAAACATGACTGGCACGTCACTGTTACCAGCCACCTCTTTGGTGACGCTGCGTGCCCTTTGCATGTTTTCACAGACAGCCTTCACTGCCGCACTGTGAATCTTTTTGCCGATAGCATGGAAGGTCTTATGGTGCATAGGGTTTGGCAATCCAACTACTGCACAAAATCGTGAAAGTTGCTCATGCCCGATACCGACGGCACGCGCTGCAAGCACCACTTTCAGGTTCACGGCAAAGGCGTCACGCGAACTCCCGCTGTCGTAGCTTCTGCTTGCACCGCGGCCGCCATCTGACGCGACCCGCTTCGACGAGTACGCGGACGAAAGGATGCTCTCCGAGCACTCCGCATTCTCGCAGTGTAGCTCCAGAAACGCCGAAAGGCCTTTCCGCTTTTTATTCGGTGCCCGAACTGCGAGTTTACTCTCGTGACAAACGGGGCATGCCGCGCCTGCGACGACGGCCGTCAATGCACCCAACTCGCACAGCACTACGCTTTCGGCACGATCGGCATTTGGCCTGACGTCGTTTTCGAATAACGCGATCTTTTTCTGCGATGCACTCACAAAATTCACTGCAGCGTTGATCTCGTCGTCGCAGTTGCCATGGTCGACGTTGCCGTGGTCGATGTTAGGCCTACCGGCCGCTGGCCCGTCGCGGACATTTTCGTTGGCGGTGGCTTTCTTGTACGTCCTCCGCCGCTTCCCTCTGAACTTGTTCTTACTTCTGTATTTCCGATGGTCGGCAACGGCCTTTTTCGGGCTTGCCATCGCACGAAAACAGCGAAAAATAACTCCGGAAAACAGTGAAGCGAACTACGGCAAGAAAACACGGGTGCTGTCAGCCAATGGCGGCCCTGCGTTAGTGGCGCGCGGTTTGAAACGGCGGGAAAAGACTGTTTTTGTTGCTTTTTTTTTAGATTTTTCGTGAACGTACGAGACTTCAAGAACCGGGATCGTGGAGAGTAAGGACAACTCTACACGAGCCAGCGGCCGCAATATGGCGGACAGCTCTCTTCGCGGCCCCGCGAGCACGCGAACAGCAGCCCGTTTTGTGTAAATTTCGTGATGCCGCGCGTCACTGCCGCTCACTCAGACGCGTTTTTCACTGACTTCTGATGCTTATTTCGCTGTGATATTTTCAGATGTCAAAATGTAATGTATAAAGATGATAAAGCAACAAAAAACAGAAAAGGTGAAATTTGGAAAAAAAACGCGACTTTTCGACCCGCGTCTCCCCTTAATTTGGTATGATAGCCAGTGTCGTTGGCGATAGAAATATTAGATCGAGCCATTATATTACAAAAGGACAACGCAATAGTATGTCAAAACATAGTTTCACAACTATGCTGAACTGCCCCGCCACGGTGGTCTAGTGGCTAAGGTACTCGGCTGCTGACCCGCAGGTCGTGGGATCAAATCCCGGCTGTGGCGGCTGCATTTCCGATGGAGGCGGAAATGTTGTAGGCCCGTGTACTCAGATTTGGGTGCCTGTTAAAGAACCCCAGGTGGTCGAAATTTCCGGAGCCCTCCACTACGGCGTCTCTCATAATCATATAGTGGTTTTGGGACGTTAAACCCCACAAATCAATCAATCAAATCAACCATGCTGAACAGTTGCCGTCAGCGTGAGCGTGGATGACGTCAACAAAAATTTTAGTCGCGCCTTTTGCGACAAACCACCCTCTGTCTAATGCAGCGGACACCTGCATTGCTGATAGCGGCACGCAAGCACAGCGGCACAAAAACAAAGCAAAAAATAAAGTGCGTGGCCTCTAAGATGGCGAGCACGCGCCGTGTTTCTACGCCGTGTGCCCGCCATCTCTG